TTTTTTTTGTCAAGAAAGTTTACTCTTTGAAGTCTCACTAAAGGGTAACTTAAAACCTTGTTATTATTGACACACAAGAAAGAGCAAGAGCCTCCCTGGAAGGCCCCAGAACGCTAAATAATTAATTGCTCACTAATGCTTTGCCTGTCTCCATAGTATCAGAATGGGGATGGGACAGAGGAGTGAGGAATAATTTGTGACCCTGCGGTAATAGATTTTTTAAACCAACTGTCTTTTTTTTTTCTGGTGGTAATGGGATTTGAACTCAGGGCCTAACACTTGCTAGGCAGGCACTCTCTCACTTGAGCCACACCCCCAGCCCTATTTGCTTCAGTTAGTTTTCAGATAGGGTCTCAGATTTTTTCCTGGGACCAGCCTATACCATGATCCTCCTACCTATGCTTCCCACATAGCTGGAATCACAGGTGCCTAAGAAACAATTTGGTTAGAAGCAAAAAGGGCTTTTTCCCCCCATTTACTTTGTATTTGAATTTCTAGCTAAAGTGTCCCACACTTTCCCCATGGCTCTTTGAAACCCTTCTCAATACAATGTTTGACATATTCTAGCCTGCCTGATAACCTGTTAATTCCCTTATTTTCACTTTGTAGGGCCACTGTACCCTGCTCAGATCTGACCTGGTCATTCTTCAAGCCTCTGTGGCGTGGGTAACCTCCTAGACCTTTCCTCTGTCTTTGTTCTAGGAATGTCCTTACCTTTTTTACTTTGTTGAATCCCCTGTTTTCTGGATCCTATGTCTTTCTTCATTTACCCCTTCATTTTGCTGGAACACATCCTTCAATATCTCCTAAGAAAAGGATACCTGGGAAGGAACTGTTTTCTTAGGATGTATGGAAATCTCTTCCCCCACCTTTCTGCCCAGTCATTTTCTGCATGCTCTGCACTTTGAACTTCAGCTGTTATGATTTGGAATTCAGATGTCCCCTTCTTTCCCCACAGGTGGATTCTGTGTTTCATTCTTCTGTCTACTGCAGATATTTTTCAGAAGAAAAAGGCGGTGATGAAAGTGTCTCTACTTCACCATCTGGAAAGCACAAATGCTGTTCTGTTCTTTGCTCACAAGCATTGATGAACTTTTTCTTGTGTGTTTGTTAATCTTTTGCTGGTGTGAATTATCTATTAATACCCTTCAAAGGACATACTCTCTAACAATTAGCACAAGGCATCAGTTCCAGTGCTTCTTGTTCTCACTTTTCCCCTCTGAGATTCAGACGTTGTTGGTGCCTCGCTGACTGATGTGCACGTGATCTGCTCTCGTTTTCAGATTGTCTCACACCCGTGAAGGCTGTGAACATGCTCACCCAGCAGGAGGTCCCTGTCATTATTGTGGCCAAAGCCAACTTTGAAGGTTCCCTGGATTCAAAAATAGGTAAGCCACTTTTAAAATGCCATCAGTGACAATAAATCCTGCATGTTTAAGACTCATGTAGTCACCTTTTGATGCCACTTGGAAGGGCTTACTGTTGATTCTGTGACCTGTCTTGACTTTTTGTAAAAATGAGCGCCCTTTGGTTTTGGTTTTGTTTGTTGTTTGGAGGTTTTGTTTATTTGTTTTGGTGCTGGGGGGGATCATCAAATCTGGAGCCTCATGCATGCTAGGCAAGGGCTCTACCACTGAGCTACACCCCCAGCTCCTTGCTTTTTCATTTAACCATCCTTTATTTTTAAGAACTGCACTTGGAAGGCAGGGGTGGTGGGGCACACCTGTATTCCAAGCATTTGGGAGGCTGAGGCAGAGGATGGTGAGTTTGAGGCCACACTGGGCTACATATTGAGACCTTGTCTGAAAAAACAAATAAAAATATCATAAAGCTGTCAGCAGGCACCTAGATGGGATTCGATTGGGCTGGGTTTTCAGTAAACCTTTGTGGAGGAGGTGAACCCTGTTCAAGAAAGGATCGTGAAACAGCAGTGAGGTCTGAGGTGCCTTTAGAGCTGTCAGTTGGAAGTTCTTGGCAACCTTGCTCACTCTTGAGCATCCTAAACTGCCATCTTATAACAGGAGGTCTGGAAGTCAACAAAGGATGAGTGTGAAAGACAGCCAGAATCTGCCTTTAGGACAGACCTGTGCGTCTCTCCTCACCACCTTTCCTGAGGGAGATTCCACCTGGGTTCCAGAGGGCCAGACCCGATGGGAGACAGTTGTTTCTACTCTGTTCTAGCACAGGGAGGAAGTAGCATTTCTTACTAAAATTCCATCTTTTTCCTCATAATGCTCATATTAGGGGTTTTTGTTTGTTTTTTTTACAGTATTGGGACTTGAACTCAGGGCCTTGAGATGCTCTACCACTTGAGCCACACGCTCAGCCCTTTATGCTTTACTTATTTTTCTAATAGAGTCTTGAGTTTTTTTGTCCAGGCTGGCCTAGACCTCATTCCTCCCATTTTTGTTTCTGGTAGCTGGGATAACAATCATGACCACTACATCCAGCTTATTGGTTGAGATGGAGTCTCTGGAATTTTTTACCCAGGCTGGCCTTGAACCACAGTCCTCTTGATCTCTGTTTCCCAAGTAGCTGGAATTCCACTGCACCTGGCTTGGTTTGTTTGTTTGGTTTGTTTGTTTGGTACTGGGGTTTGTACTCAGGACCTCCCGCTTGCTAGTCACTCTGCCACTTGAGCCACTCTGCCAGCCCCTGGCTCAATTTTTGAGAAGTGGTTTGAAGAGATATCAAAGCTGAAAACCAGTACTAAGCATTCAGGTCATCCTCTTGTAACCTAGAAGGTGTGTGTGGACTAAAATAATTCATCCTGTTATTCTTATGCATTGGATAATTAATAAAAGTTATTAATATAGCCAATAGGGTAAACGATAAAGTTCCTGGTTTTGTTTTTGTTTCGTGGTGCTCACGCTTGAACTCAGGGCCTACACCTTGAGCTACTCCACCAGCCCTTTTTGTGATGGGTTTTTTCGAGATAGGGTCTTGTGAACTGTTTACCCAGGCTGGCTTTGAACTGTAATCCTCCTGATCTCTGCCTCCTGAATAGCTAAGATTATAGGCAAGAACTACTGGTGCCTGGCCAAGAAAACTTTGTTGATATGGTTTGGGGGGGCTTGTTCTTTTTATTGTTTCTATTTTTCTGATATTTTGAGTTGAATCACTCAATATTGAGGGCTCTGAAGTGGAAAAAATTTAGATTTTTTAGGTATGTATGGAAAATTGTTTTCCTGTTGTCTTTGATTTCCCAGTTACAGAGTTAATTTTTTTTCTAAATTACTCCTTCTTGCTCTCCATGGACAGAGGTAGAAATAAACAAGAAATAAAGCAGTATATGCACCATCCCCCCTGCACTGTTAGAAGTAGTTCACATCTACTGAGCTACACGACACTGTGGACAACAACATTCTTTATATGACCAAATAAATTTTGTGGTCACAATGTCTCCATTCGAACGTTAGTCCTAGTTACTCCAAACTGTACGCTTTGGAATGGAGTGAAGGACTATTTTCCCTTCTTGACCATTAACCTTGTTTGATACTATTTACTGCTGGCCATTTATCCTCACCCTTCAAGTCTACTCAACATTTCTTCACTTTATTGATAATCTCAGCTGGAACACTATAGCACTCTTCATCATATCACAGAGTTCTCCGCCATTCCAGAGAGCTTTCAAACGCATCTCTTAAACCTCAAACTTCAAACCACGCTTGTCAACCATTCCAAAGAGGTTGTTCAAGAACTGACTTAGCTTTTGTGCCTGACCCTTAGTTTTCCATATGGTGTCTTGTGTCCACAAGCATGTTAGAAGTTTCCATGGTGACCAATAAGAGGGGTTCTCAACCAGGGTCCCTTTGCCACCAGGAGACATTTGGCAGTTTGAGAGATGTTTTGTTCCAACTGAGGGAGTGGTACAGGTAGGGGCTAGGGATGCTTCTGCATATCCTACAGTGCACAGGACAGCCCACAGTGAAGTCCACAGTGTCAACAGTACCAGGGCTGAGCAACCACCCCCCCAGACCAGCCACCAAAAAGCCTGTTTTTATGCACAGCTAAAGCCAAAACAGCAGGCCTTGGCCCCCGTGGGCGAGTGATTTACTTATGCTCGACTTCATTTCCTAAAGGACACATGTGGGTTGAAGAATAAATGTCTGTTCAGAATGTACTAGTGCCTTCGGGAACACAGCCCAGTTGCCATCTTTCAGCTTCCTGACAGAGTGGATGCTCTCAAGTGCTAGGAAAGGCTGCAGGAGTCGCCCTTCGCCCATGAGAGAGCCACTGTCCTCACTGCTGAGGCAATCCAAAGTTGGGGTGTCCGCAAGAGTTTGTGCTGTGCTGTTTCACAAGAATTGTATTTTTGTTTCACAAAAATTTTTGTATTACAACTATTTTTAGAAAGGAAAAAGTCTTAAGGGAAATAACAACAACATGGTCAATGGATCACATTAGGGTGGTGGTGGGTTTTTTCAAGACTGTGACGTGATGTGGTTTTTATGATTTACCAGCGAAAGAGATAAGTCTCTTTTTTAAAAAAAAACAAACAAACAAAAAACCACTTCAGTGGATTATTTTGTGAGTTGGGTGCTTGCAAAGATGTTGTTTTGTTTCTTCCCCTCTGAATAGGGATTCCCAGCACCAGCTCAGAGGACGCTCTCTTAGCCCAATCCCTGGGCCTGCCCTACTCTGAAGTCATAGAAACTTTGCCAGATGGCACTGAGAGGCTGAGCAGCTCTGCTGAGGTTGGTGCCTCCCCTATTGTGCCTAAGAACTTAAACTTCTGACCTTATGACCTTGGAATGAGTTTGATGAGCCATTTTCCTTCACATGTGAATCACAACCTGCCCTTTCACTGGTCCCCATGCCTACAAGTCTTGCTTCTTGGCCTGTGAAAACAAAATAAAGATCTAAAAGTTGATCAATTCTAAATTCAGTCCAGTCTTAGATTAGTACGCTATTCAAGTAACTGAACTATTTGGGGATCTTCTGCTTGAGAAAAAAAAATTCTTTTCCAGAGAATCTCTGGTCTCTTGGAAGAGGTGACTGAAGTTGACTCTTCTGCCTTAGGAAGGCATCTGCTCTTTCTACATTACCATTCCACCTCAAATTTAATCATTTGTAGAAACGAAGAGATGCTCAGAGTCATGTTTCTTTGGTCAAGGTTATCTCCCGCTAGTATGAGACACTTGGAGATGCAATCGCTGGTGGGATTTGAACCCAGCGTCTGTGTTGAACCAAACCAGAAAGAACAGTGAAAGAGACAGGGTTGAGGGGTGGCAGGTGGGAGTGGGAAATGGCTTAGGATTGTGAGTCTCAAAATCTAGCTCACACCAGTCACCACTGGCCTTGTTAAAACACAGGGTCCCAGGCCCCAGCCAAGATTCAGACTCATGTCTTTCAGGTGGGAGCTAGGAATTGGCTTTTCTAGCAAATCTGCAAGTGTTGCTGCTGCTGGCAGTCCAAGGACCACATTTTGAGATTCATTGGCTTATAACCTTGCTACTCAAAGCCTGGTCCCAGGACCAGTGGCACTGGCATCACTTGTTAGAAATATGGGCTCTCAGGCCCCATCCCATTCAAATAAGATCTCTGTGTGATCCGTGTGAGCATTAAGGTTGGAACATGTGGCTTAGAGCACTCTGGAAAGTGGTAAAATACTGAGACTTGGGCCCCAGCATGTACTTTAATCTAGTGATAACCAGTGGTGAGAATACAATGGGACTGCAAAGTTGCCTAGGTGATTCTAAAGTGAGGCAGAATCCAGGATATACTGGCCACGCTGTGCCTCACTGGATGAGTGCTTACTGTCCCCTCCCTGGGCGAGCCTGATCCTGTCAGACCTGGACACCCAGGCTTCTTGGTTTGGAATCAGATAATCTTATCTATCTACGAACAAGGGAATAATGGCCAAGGTTGGTTGGTTTGTTTTCCTTTATAAGGAGTAATAACATTTCCTGACTTCATGTTCATGCCTTCACTTCATAAATTGCATCACCAGACATGAATCGTGCTCTAAGATATTGAACCCAGAGCCATGTTTTAGACCTTGTTTGAACAGGCCCCTGGGGGTAAAGAGTGCCTACCCAAGGTATGTGGAAGCGAGCCCCCTCCAAGTCTCTGGGGCAAAGAACAGGCCATCCTTGGCCCAAATTAGACTTCTCAAGTGCTCAGAGAAACACCCCTCCTTCATGTAGGACCCAAGCACTGATTCTACCTGGCTTCAGGTGGTCACTGGAGTTCTGTCCTGGCTCCAGGCTGAGTATCTAGGCAAAAGGATTCTGTCAGTAAGTGAAGGGAAGGAGACACTGAAAAGCTGATTTCTTCTGTGAGCTTCTGGAACAGAAAGACAGTGAAGAAAGCTTGTCATAATTTGCTTCATAACTGTATGACAACAGGAGTGCAGGGCAGGTTGGAGAAGAGGTGTTCCCAGAGCATAGCCCTGTACTACTGAAGGTGCTTCAGATCACACACACACACAAAAAAAAGAAATTACAAAGAGGGGCTCCTTTTGGTAAACATGGCTATTCTTTCTTTTCTTTTTATTTATTTATTTTTTGGCAGTACTGAGGTTTGAACCTTACTATCTCATACTTGTTAGGCAGGCACTCTACCACTTGAGTCACACCCTCAGCCCTTTTTGCTTTCTTTAGATTATTTTTCAAGTAAGTTCTAGTTTTTTTGCACAGGTCCAGCCTGGGAATATGATGCTCCTACCAATGCCTCTTGCATAGCTGCAGTTACAGGCATGAGCCACCATGCCCAGATTATTTGTTGAGATGGGGGTCTCACTAACTTTTTGCCCACAGTGGCCTCAAGCTGTGTTCCTCCAGATCTCTGCCTCCCAAGGGGTTGGGGTTACAGGCTTGTGCCACCAAGCTGGGCCTTATTTATGTTTCATTACTGAGCCTCTTAAGGCCATGACCACACTGCATTTATCTTTGTGCCCCCAAGGTCTAGCATAAGCCCCACGCATAGATGGTGACAGGATGTCTGCACTGAACCAATCCCAAGGTTGTTAGGAAACTACACTGTCTCAATTTATTCCATTCATTTGGTTCTCTGAATGCATCAGTGAAAAGAGAATTTTTCTTCTGTGCTATCGGTGTCCTGCCCTGCTGTCTATAAAATGAGGGTGCTTAAAAACGAAGGGAGTGGTCTGCTTCTTCAGGCCTAAGCCCCAGTTGGTCCCCCTGCTTCTCCTTAGGATAATATTGTATTTTTCTTCTATCACTACAGAGGTAAGATGTGATTTTTAATATATCTTAAGGAGGAAGGGGCCTACAAAGGCAAAAGTACCCAGCGCTTGTGAAAGTCACAATGTGTCCTGGTACAGACAGTCCCTTGGGAGTGGGGTGGAATGTGATACGGGGGTGGCACCCATCTTACAGAGAGGAACCATCTTACAGAGAGGAATAGCTGTCTCTCCTTTCCCTCTCAGTTCACAGGTATGACCCGGCAAAATGCCTTTCTAGCCCTGACACAGAAAGCCCGGGAGAAGAGAGTGGGCGGAGACGTGACAAGTAACAAACTGAAGGACTGGCTGATCTCACGGCAGCGATACTGGGGCACACCGATCCCCATCATACATTGCCCGGCCTGCGGCCCTATTCCTGTTCCTCTGGAGGACTTGCCAGTCACCTTGCCCAACATCACATCCTTCACTGGCAAGGGAGGCTCCCCGTTGGCCTCAGCCTCAGAGTGGGTGAACTGCTCCTGCCCAAGGTAAAGAGTCATGTCCCCCAGCATCTCTGATACCCTCCTTTTCCCTAGTGCTCACTGCTCCCTTTCTCCTGACTTCCAAGCCTGGAGAGACTGCAAGTCTGTAGAGACCTTTGAGAGAAGGGTTTGGTCCAGCCCCTGTGTGGGCACCCTCCCTTCTCCTTTAGAAACATCTGATCCAACAGGTGGAAGACTACAAGTGATCATTGTATTTACAAAAAGACCACTGTCTTCCATTTTGTATTCCACAGAGCTCCCTGGAGAGGAGAAAGGGTGTTTGCTTGTGATAATAGTGGAGATCTGAGAGTAGAAGACATGCAGTGTTTTCAGGGCCTGCATTCTCTGATATACAGAAGCCTATCACATTGCCCTTCTCCTCTCTTGGAGTAAGATTCTGCTTTTCTGTCAGTTCACTAGCGTCTCAAGTGTGATTTTATGATGCCATGTCAGTTGATTAAACAAATAACTTATCAAGGATTTTCCTCCTTCCTTCTATAAAGGAGCCATTTTTCTCTGCTTAGGGATCATTATGAAGATGTGTTAAAATAGTTTGTCAGGCACCTATGACTCACACCTGTAATCCTAGCTACTTGGCTGAGATCGGGAGAATCACGGTTCGAAGCCAGCCTGGGCAAATAAGACCCCATCTCCAAAATAAACAGAGAAAAATGGACTGGAAGTGTGACTCAAGCAGCCTTATTTGTGATCACCTGCTTTGCAAGCATGAAGCTCTGAGTTCAAACCCCAGTTCCACCAAAATTACAATAATGATAACAATAGTTTAGTTTTCTGCCTGGGTAGAGCTGAGTTCCTGGGCTGGTATCTGGGTAGCTGCATAGTGCAATTGAAAGACTTAGGCTACAGAATCAGACAATGATGGATTCAGGTCCTTCTGCCTCTTAAATGGCCATCTGAACTGGGGAAAGTTGCTTAACCTCTCTGAGCTGCAGTTCTCTCAGCAAGAACTGCAGGGCTTTACCAAAGACAGATGAGCACATGTGTGCTTCACAGAGCACCTAGCATATGTCTAGTAGAGGGGAGTGGGACCACTGTCACCCATGCCACTTTGAAACTTGCCATGGAGCTTGTTAAGGAACACAGGAAACGCTGGTCTGCTTCCTGGGAGGAGACTGTGGCTCTGGGAGGAAACTAGCATGCTCTCTTTGCTGATTAGTGGTAACAAGAGGCCTACACCCATTGCCGCAGTTGCAGCTTGTTGGTGGGTCAGTACTTCCCACCTTGACTGCAGAATGTCTGGAGGCCAGAGGCCAGGCCTTGAGATTAGTTCAGTGAGCATCCAGGGCTGAGAGTCAATGAGCTAGTGCCACCAGGAGAGATAGCAGAGGTAGACTACAGCAGCCAGAGATCAACAGGTACAGGTTCTTCACTCTTGAACTCCAGAACCTTGAGTGTTGTTAACCAGATGTGATGCCTTTTATAAATTGGTACCTGCACTGGTACCAGTGGACAAGTCAAGTGAGGAAGAAAAGATCACCTTTATCTTCTGGTTATTTCCTAAAATAGTATCTCTGTGGTTGATTGCTCTTCACATAAAGACTGGGCTCTAATTTAGAGGTACACTATTGAGACCAGCAGGCTTGGGTGGGAAACAGGATATCCCAAGGGCTTCTCTGACAAGCTCCTACCCTAGGGGCCTCTATGTACCCAGTGGGAGGCCCTGACTAAGCCTGTGTGAACTGCTTCACAAATGCAACATATAAAGTACAACCCTTCTTTTGTTTTTAAATTAAAAAGTCCTTGCATGCTTAATTAGCAGAATATTTCTCCATTCCTCATGGAATTCCTCATTCCTCCTTCCCAATTCTCCAAGAACCCCCAAGGACTCACACTGCCTGTAGAGGTACACTTGGCCCTGCTTCTGTGCCTCCAAAGGGAGAGCCTTCAGCCTGCACTGTGCTCTCCTGATGTGGCTTCCCATTGCCACAAGGGTCCTGTTGACAGCCGGCTCTACCCACAGACAAGAGGTGCTGGTCCACTGCTGATCAGGCCTAGGAGTCTCGGGAGCTAAGCCCCCTTTTGAGCAAGGCTTGACCAAGGGTCCTTTCTCTTGAGTCCCTGGATGGAATGGCATTTGACAGCTTGTTCTTTTCCAGCTCTACAGGCCCACACCCTATGAACATTCGTGTGAATTATCACTTGGGCCCTGTGAGCCTTAACCCTGGGTGTCTCCATCCCTAGGACAGAGAATGCAGAAAGAATCTCCTCTCCTCTCCTCCCCTTCTCTCCCCTCCCTCTCTTTCTCTCCCCATTTTGGTGTTTTTTAAGTCAGGGTCTCACCATATAGCCCAGGCTGGGATTAGAGGCGTGCACCGCCACACCCAGCAGGGAGTGCATCTTCTTTTCAACCCTTCACACACCAAGGATCTCATTTCATTCTCTCTGTATCAGTAGTGCTCTCTTTGCCCTTCAAAAAGGATCCCACTTTTAAGCAGCAATGTATTTATAAATGTGTAGTAACCAGCTGTCTGCAGGGGAGTCCTGATTTCCAATGGTTGCCCATTTCTGTGTGGTACATACTCCCCACCAGAGCTAATGGCAAGCTCCCAGCTTGACACCATTTGTCAAAGAGTTGAGAAGGGATGCTCCCAAATGATTCCCACAGACCGATAGGAACCTTTGGGCCTTCCAAGGTCATCCAATGGAGTTCTGCATCCCATGCCATAGAGCAGAGGCAGAGGAAAAACCCAGGTTTTTTTTTTTTTTTTTTTTTTTTG